AGCACCCTCTGGGCGCCCAAGCCGGGCTCAGAGCGGCTGCTCCGGCCTCGGGCTCGGGCAGGCAGCGGGCCCCCTCCCAGGCCTGGGGGGTCGGGGGGGGTGCCCGTGGGTGCCAGGCCCCGAAGGGCCCCACGAGCCGTAGTAGCCCCCACGCTGGGCCCCAAGGTCACACCGCCTTCCATCCCCACCCCATCTGGCTTCACCTCCAGCTACACAATGGTTGCCTGTCTGTGTCTTTTCAAGGTCACCTCTGCCAGCTCAGGCCTCAGGCACACAAGGTTCTAGATTAACAACGGTTCCCGAGCTCAGCTGCACATTGGAGAGTCCCGGAAACTTTCAGAAAGTGATGCCCAACCCACTCCTCAGAGACTGTGATTTAATTGGTCCTGGGTGTGGCCTCGGTTTGGGGAGGGTTAAAGGATCCCCCAGGTGGTTCTCCTGTCTACAGCTCCAAGGCTTGTGTGTAACTGTAGGCCCCCTGACCTGCAGCAGCCCTTCCTAAGGTCCCTCGGTCTCCTTGGGACCTGAAAATTTACTCTGTGCAAGGCACTGTTCTAAATTCTTCCCGTAGGGGTCCTCCTTGAGTCTCCACCACACCCTATGAGGCAGGGAGGCTTTGCTATGATGCCCATTTCAGAGATGAAGAAACCGAGACATGGAGAGGTTGTCACTTGCAGGGATTATAATTAGTAAATGGAAGAGTCAGGATTTGAACTTGGACAATCCGATTCCAGAACCCAAGTCTTTACCTGCTACTCAGGCCATACTGCCTCTGACATGATAACCCTTTTTTTGATCCCGTGGCTGCTGCCCCAGGCAAGCCTGGCCTACTGGGAAAGCTCAAGGCTGCCCTGCTCTGTGCTAGCCCACCCTTTTCACTGTCCTCCCAAAGCACTGTCTAGCCATCTCTCTTCTTGCTCATAATTCCTCAGTGCCCACCAGGTGAAGTTCAAAGACCACATCTCCAGCCCTCCCAATCTGTCTTTTACTGTTTGAACCCTAAGTTGCAAATAGGAGCCCACAGAGCATGGCCAGGACCTGTATGAGTCAAGAGAGGCTTGGAGTACAAACCATTAAGGGGCCTCATGGTCACGGTTGGCCCCCACAGGGATTAAGGGTCTCCTTTCATTGTGTGCCCTGGGGATCTCAGCTGCCTCACCTGAGTCCTGGCTCTGTCTGCGAGCCTGCTGCTATAGACTGTTTGTGCCGCCCCCTCCCCAACTCATACATTAAAGCCCTAACCCCCCAAGGTGATGGTCTCAGGAGGTGGGACTTTGTGGAGGTGACTAGATCACAAGGGTGGTGCCCTTGGGAATGGGATTAGTGCCCTTCCAGAAGTGACCCAAGAAGACCAGGCTAGGGTGTCAAGTCCACTGGAAGATCTGCACACCCCCCATCACCTACATGAGGTTAACTCCAAGACAGGGGCTCTGTTGAAAAAAAAAATACTTACTAAAAAAATAAAATGTAAAGACCTCTGTCCTTTCCACCGCATGAGGACACAGTGAGATGTGGGCAGCCTGCAGCCTGGAAGTGGGCCTTCACCAGAACCTGACCCTGCTGACACCCTGATCTTGGGCTTAAAACCTCCTGATCTGTGAGAGATCTGCTGTTTATAAGCCACACAGGCGATGGTGTTTTGTTACAGCGGCCCAAACTAAGGCACCTGCAGGTGTGTTTGATTTGAACAACACCATGTTTAAATATGCACATCATTTAATATGATAGCCTTTTACAGCACAGGTGGCTATTCAGACTTGTGACTTCTCTCGAAGAGAAAGGAAAGATGAGGAAACCGTGGGCCTGCACGATGGCACGGCAGTTAAGGAGCTGCCCCAGTTTACACAGTCCTCCCCACCTGGCCTCAGGCTCTCACTGATTTCTTGGTCCCTGAAGGTGTCTCGGTTCTGCCTCCGAGGTCCCCTGAACCTGCCCAAGTCTGCCGGGCTTCACGCTGACATCCAGTGTTTCCATCTGGGCTGCCCCGGCTGCTCCTGGACCAACCGCCCTGCCTGCCCTCCCCTCAGCCTTCAGGGTCTCTCTTCCATGGCCCTTTTTCTGACCTCTGACATCTGACAGATGTGCCCTTTAGACTTACTTGCTGACACCTTC